TACAGTACCTTCGGCTGCATCAATTTGACACCTTGTGTCAAAATTTGAACTTCGTAGCTACCATAGGTCGGCCGGAAATGACGTCAGAGTGACGTCATGTTCGTCCGATTTCGACGCAAAACATTGAACCACGGCAATCGCTCCCAAGAGCTCAGTTTTTAAGCTAGATCCAATTTCTTTGCATGACAAGACTCAGAATTGACCGCGCTATCAAACTGCTATCTCGAATTTTCAAAAATTTGAAAGTTTCGAAAATTTGATATAATCATATTCAAAATTTGTATTTTTATATTTTTTTCAAAAAGTTTTTGACTTTTCGTAAAAACCGGAATATATGTGACAGAACGCGTGATTATGACTAACTCTAGCATGTTTTAGCTAAATATCTTCAAAAATGGCCAAGTTATACCTACGCATTATTGCAAAAAATTCACAATTATTAATTTTTCAAATCAATTTTTCAGTACGTATTTGACATCGTACACCAATATAAATGGCACCATCGTGTTCCTGAGCTCAAACTGCATCCAATGGACACCTTTTTTGTTGAAAAATTTTAACTTCAAAATTTGACCTTTTTTGACCTGAAAGTGACCTGACCTAAGCTAAATTCGACTCAAAATGACCTCGAATGACACAGACGACATCAAATTCGAAATCTATGGCCTAAATGGACCATAAAACATGTGTCACGTGACCGACGCATGATAAAATATTTTCGTGACCTGTGATAACCTGACCTTGACCTGAAAATCAAAGTAAAAGTTTGGTACCCTCAGGGTATCTAGAGCATCTGTTTAAGAGTGTGTGTACCAAAAATGAGCCTAATCTTACTTGTAAGACGGCGGCCAGAGCCCAAAATGTGAACAAGCCAAAATGCTAATAATTTTTACTTTGACCTGACCTGTGACGTCATCGGTGACCTCGAGGTCAATGAAATTAGGTTTCGCTCGACAGTTTTTCCGGGGCTATCAGACGCCGTTTGAATTTTGACGATCGGCCCAGTAGTTTCGGAGTTAGGAGGGGGGGGGGGGGCTATGAATAGCCCCCCCCAGTAGGGCGTGTTATACACAGACCCCAGTGGGGCGCGGGTTAATGTATCACGACCATAGCAAGGGACATAAAAATTATATACCTTCTTTGATATTTACAATGTTTTGACACCAAAATATTTTTTGAAAGAAGCGGATAGAAAACATGCAGTCACCAGCCAGCCGTTGCCCAACTGAGCTTCGCAAATTTTTGTGCAGTTAACAAGGCAGTCTTCCACTTAACGCTAAGAACATTAATTTCCAGGTTCGATTCTTTGTTTCGCCGCTAGAGGGGGTGGGGCGTCTTTCCCACCCTGGGCATCTTACCCCACTCTTCCCTACATGGTTACGCATGGTTAATAAAATGGAGGCACGAATCCGCAATCCACATAACGTTTTTCTGTATAGGTGGAGCTTTTCCAGGGAAGTTAGTGGAGCAAAAAGTCGTCAAACCTATATGTCCATTGGTAACTTGAATACAATGCTAAGCTAAAAGCATTCCTAACGTTACAGAGATAATCTTTTGCAATACCTAATATTGACATTTCAAAGCTGGTCATTGCGAAAAAATGCTTTGGAAATCAACAAATTCCTACAAATGAGCCAAACAATGGTGGGGCAAAATTGCATGTTGGGGCAGCCACCCCAATCCCTACCAACTGTATGCATAGGAAGCTCCGCCCTGTTGTCCTGATTCCTCAGTAATATAATTGGACACACTGAACGCCTTGCACTGAACGCTGCCGTTGACACAGCTCCGGGCAAGTTGACGGAAGGTTGCCATGGCAACGCTTGTCGCGCATTATTTGATCTATAGCAACCATGCATGCATGCGTGTTACCGCCAAAGCTCTGTCGGTACTGGGATGAATGTTGGTGCCATGGAATGAGGCGCATGTTGCATGATTGTGATGTGTGTGACCGTGGCTGCTCGACGCATGGATGTGGATTACTAATTGCTACTTATTTTTCTCCAGCCATTGAGCTGAAGGCATCGGTGTGACGTGACTCACGTTGAGGTTGGCGCTATCATTGGTCTCGCTATCATTGGTCTCATTTGTACTTATTGGAGACGACTGACGAGCAGACGCGCCTAACAGCTGATTGGAGCACGACCCCATTATACCCGGACGAAGTAGGTGCCTGTTTGATCTTTAATTTGTTTATTGAACTTGGTTTTGTTTGTCCATGATTGTTTCATATCCTCATTTAATCATCAATGTCTTGATCTAGTCATTTTGTATGTGTTATCCTGTTTATGTGTTGCGACTGAATCTGACCGAATGTTGTTGTGTGTGTGTGTGGTTTTTTGACAGTTTTTACGGTCATTGGTCATCAGTATTGACCATCTCCACATCGAGGCTGCAATAAACCTTTTAGTTCGATCCAAGTTTATTTTGAGTTGCAGTTTGATTAACGGCGATGGACGATGGCGCTATCAGTAAAAATTCTTCCACCCGTAGTGGGGTGGCTTCAGTTATGATGTGTCACCAGTTTTGAGTTGTTTTCTGTAGTATAGTTACCTACAACTTGTGTTTGTAGTATAGTGTTTGGTGAAGTTAATAGTTTTTAACATAACCAATTCCTCTGAACCACTAACCTATTGATACTGACCTACCTTACCTGAACTAACATGGCTGATTCGGGGAAGGAGGATGAGACGTTGGACGCTCTGCAGTCCAGTTCTGGGAGAGCCATCCGTCCAACAGAGGCGGGACGCGAGTACCAAACTCAACTGAAGACGAAGGCCTACAAGCATCAGCTACGTGAACTGAAGCAGCTCAGTCGGCAGGTGGTCCGACAGAGTGTTACCGAAGTGGAGGTGAACCCAGACATCTCAGAAGAGAAGGCAAAGAAGTGGATCCACAACTACATCTCCTTCTCACAGACAGAATATGAGTTGTGTCACTTGCTCCCTCGGGCTGAAGTGGAGCAGCACTCAGATAACCACAAGATGGTTTTGGAAGAAATCGACCAAGTCAGAATGGTGGTTGAAGGCTACTTGAAGAGCAGACAGCCGCAGAAGACGGCAAGTGCATCAGTGGCTGGCTCTGGCGTCAGCACGAAGTCTGGCCTTCAGCTGATGCAGATCGAAGACCAGCGCAAGAAAGCTGAAGTGGCAGCAAGACTGTCCATGCTGAAGGCAAGGCAAGAGCTTGAGCGTCAACGCCAAGAGTTGCAATGGAAAGAAGAGGAGTTGGCACTGCAAACTGAGATCGAAATCCAGCATAGACAGGCAGAGGTGACACACAAGTTCAAGCTGGAACTGGAAGGTCAGACTGAGGGAAACGCTGTAACCAGCCGCCATCCGGAACAGACAGTAGAGGACATTGCTGCTCCATCTGATCACCAGCAGCAGCCTGCACCAGGACTGAGCACTGCAGCTGACACGAACCGAGAAGCTGATGTGAGGAATCCTAGTCAAGAACCTTCGCAGGGAGCAGCCGCCTCTTCTGCAGCAGAGCTTCTCTCAGGGCTGGCTCAGCTACTTGCAGAGCAGAGTAAGAGAAGTTCTCTGCCAGCCCTGGAGCCAGAGGTGTTCCGTGGTGATGCAGAGCAGTTTCACCTGTGGATGAAATCATTTGAAAGCTACATTGAAGCGCGCACTTCATCAGCTGCCGAGAGGCTACACTTCCTCTCTCGGTACACGAGCGGTGAAGCACGCAACGCGATCCAAGGTTTTCTGCACTTGAGCTCAGAGGATGCTTATGGTGAGGCGAAGGCGAAACTGCAAGAGCGTTATGGAAGCAACTTCATAACTGCACAGACCTACAGAAGGAAGATACGTACATGGCCGAAGATCGCTCCTGGCGATGCAAGGGGACTCCGGCAGTTCGCCGACTACTTGGAGAGTTGCGAAGTTGCTTCAAGAACCGTTGCAGGTCTGGATGTCCTCAGTGACCCTGACGAGAACGTTCGGATGCTTCAGCTACTGCCGAAGTACATTGTGAACCGCTGGGAACGGGTGGTAGACGAGGCGCTCTACGAGCCCCGCCTCGGATCCAGCGCGAGGTATCCGTCTCTAGGCGAGTTTGTCCTCTTTTTGAGGAAAGAAGCGCGCGTTGCCAGCGGACCGGTTGGTAGTCGTCTCTCCGAAGCTGAGCAGAACACGAAGAAGCCTCAGCCCAAGACAAGAGCAAGAACATTCTTAGCTGCCACCAACGCGCCGTCAGATGGTGACCAAGTGCCAAGATTGAGGTGCAAGATTTGCAATGGAGACCACACTCTGGACTACTGTCAGAAGTTCATCAAGATGAGCGTCCGTGAGAGACATGACGCCGTCCTCAAGCACGGTCTCTGCAGAGGCTGTCTCAAGCCTGGACATGTGTGGCGTACGTGCAAGGTGAAGAAACGGTGCACTAAGTGTGGGAAGCTGCATCCTACCGTCCTGCATGATGACGCTCTGGTGGCCTCTGATGGTGGGCGATCAAGCACGAAGAGCAGTCAGGGTACCCAGACAAGTGCGACTTCTCTTCGAGTGGGCGTTGCAGAGAGAAATGTGTGCGCCCATTCGATGGTCGTCCCCGTGCGGCTTCGTCATGATGAGCGACCAGATAGAGAGATCGTCACCTACGCCTTATTGGACTTGCAGTCAGACGCCTGTTTTATCAAGGAGTCGGTACGCCAGCAGATGGACGTTGAAGGGGTGGAAACCCGTCTGCAACTGAACACAATGACCGGGAAATCAGTCGAGCGAGCCCACGCCGTCCATGGTCTAGTGGTGCAGGCAGTTGATGGCGGAGACGAAGTACCCCTGCCTACGACCTACTCGCGCTCCGATATCCCGGCAGATCGTGGGCTCATCCCCAAAGAGGAGAGCGTACGGAAGTGGCCTCACTTGAAGTCTGTTGGACAGCAACTGCCTCCATACTTCGATGAAGCCGAGATTGGAGTCTTGATCGGAATCAACTGCGCGAAGGCAGTGAAGCCTCTATAAGTTGTCGCGGGAGAAGACCACGAGCCATGGGCAATGAAGACAGTACTTGGATGGAGTATCGTCGGTATCCTGGACAGTGAGGCGAAAAGGAGCAACGGGACGTCCTGTCACTTTGCCTTCCGCGTGCACACTCGAGAAGTGAGCCCTGTTCAGCTGATGCACCTGCTTGAGGCTGACTTCCACGACACGCTTGAAGAGCACACGTACTCACAAGACGACACGAAGTTCATGAACATCGTGAAGAGCAAAATACATCAGAGAGAGGACCTCCATTTCGAGATGCCCCTCCCGCTGAGGGACCAGATGTTCTCCTTTCCGGACAACAGAGAGGTGGCTTTGAAGAGGCTCCAAGGATTGAAACGCAGACTGGCGAAAGACCCAAGGTTCCGAGAGGAGTATGAAGCGTTTATGAATGACATGCTGGAGAGAGGCTACGCCGAAGTCGTTCCAGCCGATGAACAAGAACAGGAGGCCGGACATGTGTGGTACGTACCACATCATGGGGTGTACCACCCCAAGAAGGCCAAGCTCAGAGTGGTGTTCGATTGTAGCGCTCAACATCAAGGAGTGTCTCTGAATTCGCAGCTCCTTCAGGGTCCCGATGTCGGAAATAGCCTCATCGGCGTACTTATCCGTTTCAGAAAGGAGCTCGTCGGCCTCAGCTGTGATGTGCAGGGCATGTTTAACCAGGTCGGCGTCAACCCAGAAGACCGGAACCTCCTCCGCTTCCTGTGGTGGAAGCGAGGTGACATCACCGCTAGCCCAGAAGAGCACCGCATGACAACACACCTGTTCGGGGCGACGTCCTCGCCAGCGTGTGCGATGATGGCATTGAAGGAAACTGCCAACAGATACGAGAGTACATCAGGAAGAAGTGCAGCCGAGTTCGTGCGGCGTAACTTCTACGTGGACGACGGCCTCACATCCGTACCAGACGTGGAGTCTGCCGTAGACCTGGCGAAGAGAACCATCGATCTCTGCGCGAAAGGAGGCTTCAACCTACGGAAGTTCGCGTCTAACGAGTCTGAGGTCCTGCTACAGCTCCCGGCCAACCGTCGCGCCAAGGACTTGCAAGAAGTCGAAGTCATGAGTGAGATGACGGCACTTGAACACACCTTGGGCATCAGGTGGAACCTGAGAGACGACACTCTCGGCTTCAGCTTCGAGACTCCAGAACGGCCACCCACCAGAAGAGGGATCCTCTCTCTCGTGAGCTCCCTCTACGACCCTTTGGGTTTCGTATCGCCGGTAACCCTTCAAGGCAAGAAGATCTTGAAGCAGCTTTGCACAGATGGATACGACTGGGATGATCCACTAGCCGACGAGACTGCCCAACGCTGGGAAAGCTGGAAGTCCGGCCTCTCGCAGCTCTCCTCAGTGAGTGTGCCCAGGTGCTACGCCCATGGCCTGGGACAAGAGTGTGTGAAGCTGTACGAGTTGCATCACTTCTGTGATGCAAGTCTGGAAGGCTACGGCTACTGCAGCTATCTAAGGATCATGACGGAGGACGGGCAAATGGCATCATCACTCGTCTTCAGCAAAGCACGAGTCACTCCTAAGCGCCCTCTCACCGTACCCAGACTGGAGCTGACTGCGGCAGTGGCGATGGTGAAGGGCAGCTGTCTCCTAAGAAGAGAGCTAGATATACCAGAGTTGAACGAAGTGTTCTGGACCGACAGCAAAGTGGTGCTGGGTTATATCTACAACGAATCGAAGAGGTTTCATGTCTTCGTGTCGAACCGCGTCCAGCAGATTCGACAGGCGACGCGCCCCACTCAGTGGCGACACGTCCGAAGATAACCCAGCTGACATCGCATCGAGAGGAGCAGCTCTGAACGAGCTGAAGACCAACGGTCTGTGGTGGAACGGACCTGCGTTCCTTCTGCAGCGCGGAGGTCTTCCCGGACAGGTCACAAAGGCAGAAGTGGCATCGGATGACCCTGAAGTGAAGGCAGCAAGTGTGCTCAAGATTGAAGTCCGAGGAGTCCCAACCAGTCTCTGGCCAAACGACTGGACTACTTTTCCAGCTGGTCTCGAGCCAAACGAGCTGTCGCCGTGGTACGGCGCTTCTGCCAGATAGTGCGCCAGCGCGCAAGAAGCTGTGACCGAGATACAGCACAACATGAGGAGGGCGCGCTGGGACAGCCGCGCGGAGTGGCGACCAGCGTAGAAGAGCTGAACAAAGCTGAAAGGGCAATTCTGAAGTCTGTTCAAGCTGACAGTTTCAGCGAAGAGCTTCAGAGACGGAACTTGGCCCTTCAATCAACAGACGAAAGAAGTGGACGGATCAAGCGGTGCGTCAAGAAGACGAGCTCGTTGTTCCGACTGGACCCGTTCATCGACAACGACGGTCTGCTGCGAGTTGGGGGTCGACTCCGGAGAGCAGATGTGCCTTTCGAAGTGGCTCATCCGGTGATATTGCCCAATCGCTCACATGTGACAGACCTTGTTGTGCGTCATGTGCATGACCAGATGGAGCACTGCGGACGAGAGACAACTCTGAGTGAAGTGAGACAGCGAGGATACTGGATAGTACGAGGAAGGTCTGCGGTGTCTCGATGCATCCTGAAGTGTGTGAAATGCATCCGTCTGAGAGGAACGCCGTCTGTACAGAAGATGTCGGATCTCCCTGCAGAACGTGTGGAAGGTGCCGAGCCGTTCACGTTCACAGGAGTGGACTATTTCGGCCCTTTCTATATCCGGGAAAAGAGAAGCGATGTGAAGCGATGGGGCGTGATGTTCACGTGCCTGAGCTCCCGAGGTGTCCACTTGGAGACAGCAAACTCACTATCGGCTGACTCGTTCTTGAACGCATACCGGCGCTTCGTGGGGCGGAGAGGCCCGGTACGCCGCTTGTTTTGCGATCAAGGAACCAACTTCATGGGCGGCAAGAGCCTTCTGGAAGCCGCCCTGAAGGAGACTGACCACAAGAAGATCCAGGATGAGCTCCTGAAGGATGACTGCGACCTCGTTGAGTTCCACACCAATGTCCCTCACGCAAGTCATATGGGAGGCGTTTGGGAGCGACCGATTCGGACAGCGCGGGCGGTGTTCAGCAGCATCCTGGCCTCGCACGGCCACAGCCTGGACGACGAACTGCTGCGCACAGTGATGGTCGAGACAGAAGCCATCATCAACGGCCAGCCACTTACTTACACTAGTATGTCCGATACTAACACGGTCGAACCCCTGACTCCTCAGCAGCTACTAACCTTAAAGTCGAAAGTAGTGTGCTCTCTTCCGGGACGATTCGTCAGGGAGGACCTGTACGCGAGACATCGCTGGAGGCGCGTGCAATTCCTGGCGAACCTCTTCTGGACACGCTGGAGGAGAGAGTTCCTGCCTTCTCTGCAGGAACGGAGACGGTGGCAGGCAACTGAACCCAACGTCCGAGACGGTGACGTCGTGATCGTCGTGGACGATGCTGCCCCAAGGGGGCGGTGGCCGATGGGACGCGTTGTGCGCGTGTATCCGAGTGACGACGAACTCGTGCGTAAGGTGCGCGTGAAGATCGGGCGGTCGGAGTATGACCGACCGATCCACCGCCTCATACTGCTCTTGAGAACTGACGAGTAGGGCAGTGAGGGACTGCAGTGCGTGAGCGAGCCGCGACCGATGGTGGGCTCGTAGTGAAGGCTGACTGCCCGGTGGCTAGCTAGGTGAGCTGGCGCCATCGCTGAACGGCGTGACTTTTGCTCACTTGCGTACTTTGTGAATTTTGTGACCGAGACACGCAGTAGCGGGTAAGGCAGTGTACTGCGCTGCGGTGCCGATGGCCGATTGTGTTTATTGTTGCACGTTCGAGGTCCAAATGGCTAGACGGGCTAGACTCTAGATCGTGCAGTTCGGAGCGTGTTACCACTCTGCGGTTCGGGTGACTGAGTGGAATCGCTGTCGGGAGAACCGAGGTCTTAATTCCCGTCAAGGGAGCCTTTTGTGTTGATGTATCGCTTTTGCGCGGGACGCGCGCGAGAAGGTTTGATTTTTTTGGCAAAAAATGGGGAGCCATGTTACCGCCAAAGCTCTGTCGGTACTGGGATGAATGTTGGTGCCATGGAATGAGGCGCATGTTGCATGATTGTGATGTGTGTGACCGTGGCTGCTCGACGCATGGATGTGGATTACTAATCGCTACTTATTTTTCTCCAGCCATTGAACTGAAGGCATCGGTGTGACGTGACTCACGTTGAGGTTGGCGCTATCATTGGTCTCGCTATCATTGGTCTCATTTGTACTATTGGTCTCAAGATAAGGGTCCAGGCGACCTGTAGGTTTGATGCGGTGAATACCCCCACCTTCGCCACACTCGCTCGGTGCTACGGAGCTCCGATCTCGCGACCGGTCACCTGTACTTGTAGACTGTGCCGCATGACATAGCAGTTGAGCGGGCCAGCGGAGCTTAGGCGGAAACTAGCGCCGCGTTTGACAGAGAAGGACGCTCACCATTCCGCCAGGAGGGCCGCTCGCCATTTTAACTCCATATAGCGCCTCGCTGACAATGAAAGACACTGCATGAGGACGACACTATAGGGTTCGGCAAAAATTAAGTCCACTTCTTATGACAACACTTTCCGGTTCCTAATCGTGTCTACACATGAGGGATGACGATTCAGGCTGCACTCCTGCATTGCACGGTCCTTGGCCGCAGAACATGAGGTGACGAACGGACCTCGGGTCACGGATCACCGAGCTACGGCCAGTTTCACAGAGATTGTCGACCTGAACGGCTGCGTCGCTACATGAAGGTCTGAAATTTTTATCAAGGGAGCTGAACCAGACAGTCGGCATGCTCCAGGCCGAAATGACACAGCGTGTCATAGCTGATTGGTTGGGACATCTGCCTGTTGTTTTTGTTTGCAAGTCTTAATTATGGGCGAACTGTCTGCACAGTCCGGTGTTGGTGGGATACGCACACGGCTGCTGGCAGTGTTGCTAATCGTTCCAGTTTGCCGGCGTGCGCCTACCATTTCAAACGCTACATAAATCGCATTGAAAAAGGCGGCCGGGAAGAGGGGCCAGTAGTTAGCGACAAAATTGGCCAAGCGGCTCGCGCTGAAGCGCTATCACATCTCCAAACAGGACCGTGAGACGCTATTGGAAGAGCTCTCCGAGGCTCATTACCTACCTTCGGCCCAATACTAAGCCAACGCATGGTCAATGACATGTTGACATGCATTTTCAATCAGGACGACGCGCCAGCTCATCACTCTGCCAAGGCCTAGCGGTGGTGCGAATTGAACTTATCAGACTTCTGAAGGAAAGAGATGCTAGCCGGCTGCCATTCGGACCTCATCCTGATCGACGAACTTCAGGCTATCGTCCAGCAGAACCTGGACAAACAGAAGCCGGCGGCCAACCCCGGCGCCTTGTCGTTACAGCTCAAACGGGCATGATAAAGAATCCAGCCGTATTTACTGCACAACCTAGTTACCAGCATGCAAATTTGCGTTCGTATGTAAATCCCTGTTCGTGGGAAATAACATGAACGGTAAAGAGAATCGCTGTCCCCTTTGTAGCAACTTAGAACGTTTTTTTTAGAGGATACAACTTATGCCGGACCATGTAACTCACACATCATTCATTGCAGCTTCACCTTAGATTGCAAGACGTGGCAGCTTGTTTAGGACGTAGCAGTTAATGTTGTCATTATCGGCATACCGCCGACAACGTCACTAATCACTATTTATATCCGAGAGTGCCTGCTTTTTTTGGTCTCTTGGTCTGTCCTATCAGAAAATCCGTAAAACAAGGTATAGTACCTAAATTACAGTATACCTAGTCATTTGTCATGAACCTCGTAGAGTGTTCTGATATCCCAGAACCTCTAAATAGCCAACAATTTAATCCCTTTGCCAATATCACCTCACCTGAACTGCAGGTTGATGACAACAGCTTTAAAACCCTACAATCCTCTTGTGGCTATTTCTCCCTTCCGTCAATGTTTGATACAAATAAATCATCACACTATTTTTTGAATATCATTCATATAAATGCCAGGTCTATTTGCTCAAATGATAAATTTGAAGAACTTCAGTTGTTTTTGACCAGAAGTCATTGTGTTTGGCATATCATTTGCATCACTGAAACATGGTTATCGGACGACCAAATTTCTAATAGACAACTTCCTGGATATACAGGTTATTTTGAGAACAGGAATGGCAAAATGGGAGGTGGGGTGGCAATCTATGTAAATACTGAATCAGTTAAACATTCACTCAGATCTAAAATTAAAACCCTACAATGTACTCAATCAGTTATCATAGAATGCCAAGTCGATAGTTATCCAACATGCATTGTTGGAGCTATATACAAACCTCCAGACTTGGACAGTGACATTTTTTGTTGTGAACTTGAATCGTTGCTTGAGAATATAAATCATGAGAATAAGACAACCTTCCTGGCAGGTGACTTTAACCATGACCTCTTCAATATTGCAAATAATAACAAAACATTAGAATTCTTCAATACACTTGCTTTTCATGGCTTCTGGCCAACTATCTTTAAAACAACAAGAATCTCTGATGAAAGGGGTTCTCTGCTTGATAATATTTTTTGCAACAATATTGAACTGGTCTCCTGCTCTGGGATTATATATGAAGATCTCTCTGATCACTTTCCTATCTTTACCTGCTCTTACCCTCACAAAGATGCCAAAAGACATGACACTTATAAGCTCATCTTCAATGAAAACAGAATGGACAATCTCAAAGACTATATTACTGAGCATCTGCAAAATTTCTCACAAACTACAGATCCAAACATTGCCTCAAACATTATCATAGATGCATACTCCTCAGGAA